GACTATCCGAAGCTCTGCAGATCCCACCCCAGGAAGTTCTTGTGGCATACCCACTGAGGTGCCTCTAGAACTGCCCTGACCATTGGGCGCCAGGAGAGGTTGAGGCTTCTTCCCAGCAGGCAGTGTTTCCTGGGATGTGATACAACCATTAACACCCAGGCATCCAAGTGCATCCATTCAACAGCTTCCAGCAAAGGAGAACCACAGAGAATCACCACAGCACCCACCAGGCCGCAGCACACACCCAATCACCAGCAAATGAAGAGCATGCCCGAGTGGGGCAGCATAATGGCCAATTGCAGGCTCAGGGGCCGGAAAGTCAGGGTTGAGCAAGACGTCTTCCCAGGTTACTTATCCCCTTCAAGTTCTGGACTTATTTATTTGTAGCAAGAGTATCTCGCTCACTGTGTTCTTCCAAGAATTGGAAGCAATAATAGATGTAAATCATTTATCAGTGCAAATCCAAAAGGCCATGGGAAATGGAATATACTCACACTTCTAACCAAAACGTGCCCGAGCTAGAAGGGGAGAGACAGAAGTGGTGAGCTATTGAAGACATAGTTTCCTAGGGGTCAGATAGGAAGAGTCTTGGTGGAAGCCTAGTGTCCGGGTCCCTAGGAGTCTCGTTGACTTCAGGTTATGTAAAGAGCCGTGGTGGCGTAGTGGGTTACGCATTGGGCTGATAACCACAAGGTCAGCAGTCTGAATCCAGGAGCTTCCCATGGGAGAAAGATGAGGCTTTCTACTCCCAGAAAGAGTGACGGCCTCAAAAACCCACAGGGGCAGTTCCCCCTGTCCTCCAGGGTCACCATAGCCGGGATCGACTGATGGCAGTGACATTTGGGTTCTTTTTTTTTGCCCCCAACACGTGGTCTCAGAAGCACAATCATATCAACACATTTTTAACCAATAGTACGACTCATCTAGATAATTAACCAGCGATTGGAGTGCTGTCTATGACTCTGGAAAATTCTCTTAGATGAAACAGATGTGGAACAGATTTTTTTTTTACAATAACACCTCATTTGACAGAGATAACCACATATTTGTCTGTTCCAGGAAGCATATGGATACGATGCATACAGCTATACAACCAAATCTTTTGCGTTACCAGATGATGCGAACATCACAACTTAAAATATTGAAGTAATAATAGTCAAGAAATAAATTGCTGGCAGCCTGGGTGCGCTTACTATGTGTTGAGCACTGTGACGTGCTCTCCGATCATTTCAATTTCTCAACTACCCTTTTGAAGTAGATCTTTTTTATCATCTCCATTTTACAGGTGAGGAAACTGAGGCTTAAAAAGGTTAAATAACTTGCCAAAGGTCACAAAGTTAGCCATGGACATTCAGCCTGCAAAGGACAGGAAGTTGGCTGGGTCTTCGCAGTCATTCTGCGATAGTGACCTAACGGTGACCTCTTCACCTTATTAGATCATCCGAAGAGCCATTTCTGAGCCAAAAATAGCTTGTTGCTTCCGGAGATTTTTATTAAAACTCTAAATCTCCTGGCAATAACTTTCAAATGTCATGATTCAGACAAGGAGTGATCTTTGAAAATGGGATCCTGATGCAGGTCTCCTGGCTACAGGGACGCTCGCCCCGCCAGAGAGGAATGTCAACCTTGACATTGGTGAGGAGCTCTGTTTCTCCTGTGGCTTGGTCTTTGGCCATCATCGACTACGGGCAGTTCCTTGCCCTCCTCCATTCCTCCTTGCGGAATCCTCCTCGTGAGGTTTAGCTGGCTCTCTCTTCTTCCATGACGTCACCCCATTGGAGTCTGAGGCAATATTTCTCCTGTCCTATCCAATGACTACCTGGATAATGACCATCTGGGCACACGTCTAATGCAGATTCCCAGGCTTCTGGCCACAGCTTTCCTGTAGAATCCCTACCTACAGACTGGAGGGCAGGCGGCAGCCTTTCCATCACATTCCCCAGGAGGGGTTACATGAATGCTCACGTCTGAGAGCCAGCGATGTGATCTCCAGACCATCAGCAAGCAGCGTGGTCCTTGGATCCGTAACATCCACACGCTGTCAGGAAACACAGAATCTACTAAATCACCAGCTGCGTTTTTAACAGAATCCCTAGATGATGTATATGTACATGCCTGGGTATACAGAGAACCGCTATACAAACAATGCTTCCCAAACAGTTTTCACATCATAGCACAGGCAGGACATGGAAACACTGGTTTGTGGTTAACAGATGAGAATCCCGCAATGCCTGCCCCAGACCTCGCCTGCCCACGTTGAAGGCTGACATCTCAGACACACACTGATGGAGAAGTTTTGGTCTTGCATCTGTTTACTAAGTTCTCATTCTCGTCACAGGGCATAGTTCCCAGATTGCCCTATTCTTATCTTCACCACGAGTCATCTCTGAGCACCCTTGCATGCGCACCAAGAGTCAGAAAGGCTGCTTCTGAGTCAGTTCCACCAATCGCCATCAGGTCGGCCCAGACTCGGGACAGCCGCGTGTCAGAGTCACACTGCCCGGTAGGGTTGCCCATGGCTGATTTATCATAAGTAGATGACCTTCTTCCAAGTTCCCTCGCGTTGGACTCAAACTTCGACTCATAACTCATAACTCACTAGAGCGCTCCAATCTTCATGCAGTGGAAAAGCAGAGCATCGTCTTCAAGTTCTAGGTAGACGTGTTGAGAAAGGCTAAGAGGTCTTGTCTCTCCTTCCAAAGAGACGTCCGCTTGTGAGCGAGAGAGGAAATGGTTAGGAACAAACAAGAGCCTTCTGCAGAGTTCTCCTTCCACCTGGGGCCACACATCTGAGGAGCAGTGATCGGCAGCAAACAAGGTAGCAACCCTCTCCTGAGTGCCGGGAGGACTGTGATTTGCTTAGTCCCTCCTCAGCAAAATCTGTCAGCTTGTAAACGGGACAGGTGTCCCTGCTCTCGGCCAGCCCTGATCATGGGGTGACAGTTGGGTTGGAAGGAATGGAACATCTTCAGAAACCCTTCCTGGTGAGACCATTGGATCAAAATGACCAGATGTTGGGACAGGCCATCTGACCTGGCAGAGCCCCCAGCTACATGGGAACCCAACTGACTCATTTCTTGTTCCACTTAGGAAAATGTTGAAATTTTTAAAAATTCAAGATAATGAGCTGTCACTCTGAAGCAAATACGACATGGCCCTTCTAAGTGAAAGGTTGTCATGGTCTGATCAAGTGCAACTGTGGGGGTGGAAATATTGCCACTAAACAACAGGCCTGTCCCCTCTTGTCAACTTGCTGGAAAATCGAATTCTCCCCACAACCCATCCTGCCTCCACCTTAATTGTCTAGTATTACTGTAACAAGTGTTACAAAAGGAGGCCTTTATCAAAATTTATTCTCTCACAGCTTAGGAGGCTGAAAGTCCAAATCTAGGACCCCAGCCTCCCTCCCTCGGAGGCAGATGCTCGCTCTCTCTCTGGGCTCCTTTCATTGTCCCTGGATCTGGCATTCCTGGGATTCCATCAGAGGCTGTGGTGTCTGTCTTCCCTTGGGTCTGGGAGGTCATCCGTGTGGGGAGCGTGGTCCTAAGGACCTGCTCCACTCTCAGCCCTTCTTGCTTGCTGGTAGGAGATTGTCCTCCTCTTCTGCTTATTTCTTATCTTTACATAGAAGATAAAAGGTGATCACGCCACACCCTGGATTACTCTCTCTACACTGGATCAGGGAATCGGGTTACGACCTAAGTAAGGGTGTTCAATTGTTTGACTGATCTCAGCAGATCACATGAGGGGGAGTGACTAACTACATCATGATATAATTGTCAGATTTCATCCTTATGAATGACCAAACTACTAAGAATCATGGTCCCGACAAGTTGGCATATATTGGGTGGGGGGGGGGGCCGCGGGGCAGAAGGGGGCCACAAATCTCCCAGTGAGATCTAGACAAAAGCAGCACCACTCGAGGGCTGTGAATTCGAGTGTGAACTATCCTTCCTCAGCCCCTGGAAGTCTGAGGGTTCAAAATGCTATTGATCTCTCCACTGTACCCTAATCATATACCCAGGAGAGGGCTGGCCCTGACGTTCCTGTTACCCCAGCAGTAGAAAGGGCCATGACCAGACCATGCTAGCACCCCTGCCTCACTTTGTGTTTCATGAAGCCTTTCCCATGGTCCTGCAGCTAGGAGGCCTTTCTCCTGCTCCGACCAGGACGCTCAGAGAGCAGTTGGCAGTCCACCCAGAGCAGCCATAATGCCAATGAAAAGAATGGGCTTTTCTCTAAGCAATTAGCAAGAACTCTTGGTAAAAATTTCCATGCCTGGATCAGCTGATTAACAAGCCCTAAAAATGTTAAGTTTGGGCAATGCAGAGGGCTTGGGCTTCTCATGCCCAAATCATGCCCATTCCACATGACCACTTCAATTACAAGCAGCCCCCGGTTTACGAACAAGTTCTGTCCTGAAATCAGTCTCTAAGTCAAATCTGTAAAAACATCAGAACCAGAATCGTTCAGATCTAGTATCACTCAAATGTTTGTCTTGCAATTACCACCCACTGCCCATTGGGTAGATTCTGACTCAGCACGATCCTACCTACAAGACAGAGTAGAACTGCCGCTTTGGGGTTCCAAGACTTTAAAACTTCAGGGGAGCAGACAGCCTCATCCATCTCCTGCAGAGAGACTGGTGGGCTCAAACTGCCAACCTTATGGAGTACAGCTCACTGCGGAAGCCACTATGGCTCCAGAGCGCCCTTCTTTGTCTTAATATTGAGTATACCTTTCCATGAGTGAAAAACATTCTATAAATACTTCCAGAGACACGAAGCATCTTGAACACAATGAAACAGTGACTATGATGTTTTTATACACACCACATAGTACCTGTTTGTTCTTCCAAACCAGTGTCCATGCCCCAACTTTTTAATAGGATAGACTTTGCAGGAGTTTGTTCCCAAGGGCAGTTGGCATGTAAGTCTGATGCCCATAGCCTGGGGAAGGCCTGCCCAGATTCTGAGCCATCTCTCTGCTTCCTGGTGCAGGATGAAGAACAAGCTGTGGTACTTTGAATTTGGCACCTCCGAGACCTTTGCTGCTACCTGCAAGAAGCTCCATGACCACATCGAGTTGGAGGTAAGTTGCCGAGCTGGGAGGAAGGCTTCCGGGCAGTTGCTCCACCTGCAGGCCACGTTGCTTTGGGGCTTTCAGAGTGAGCCACAGCCAGCCCGTCCGTGGGTCCTCCACCCAGTGCCCACTGTGCCTCCCTCCGAAGGAGCCGCTTGTTCTGCTACCCCGCCTTGAAATCCTTGATGGCTTTTGAACAAGAGGCCCCACGTTTTCATTTTGCACCCACAGGCCAGGTGTCCCATCCTGGAAGAGCTCTTTTGCTTGACTAACACTTCCGGCCCTGGCAGCAGCCTGCCTGCCAGTCGCGTTTGCCCAGGGGCTCACCTTCCCCGCTTGAGCAGCTGCCCACTGCCACCCCCTCACTGGGCTTCTGCCCTGGTGCAATCCTCTCCTAAGAATCGCTCTGGCCACCTGAAAGCCCAAACCTCTGTGTCCACCAGCTCTGCCTCCACCTGGCAGGCGGACCTCAGGTCGCTCAGCTCCTTGAGTGAGAGTTCTTAGCTCCCTGCTCGGCCTTCCCATGAGATTCAGCCCTGTAGTCTGGCTTCCACGAGAGAGGAACAGGTGAGGCAGCAGCCAGATCGCTCAGCCAGGATGGGCCCCTCCGGGCCCAGAGCGAGCTTTGCCTCCGAACCGCCTCTGGCAGTCATGTGGAGCTGGGCACCCCTTTGAGAAAGAAGCCTTTGGCCTGAAGCAGTGTGGGAAAGCCCCGCCACTCCCTGCCGGAAAGCAGCCACTCACTGGAAACAGACCACAAAGCCAGGGGTTCTTCTGCCTGCCTCTCCCCATCGGTTGCTGGGTTACGGCGATACCAGGGTGGGAGGCATAGGTCCCAGCTAATCCTCTGAACTTTGGGCCAGCTCTTGTGGAGGGCAGAGAGGCCCAGCCGCCTGGGACATGGGTCCTGAGGTGGGAGGAGGCTGTGAGCACCTGCACCTGCGGGAGGAGAGGAGCCAGCCCTCCTCTATTGACGCATAAACACTGGGGCAGGAAGGAGAGGCCCTGGCAGGGGCCGCTCAGGGGCCGCTCAGATATGTACACATTTTCCCTGTTGGCACAGTCGCCTGGTGGGGTCTCTATTTATCCCCCAAGTGAGGGACAGCCCCAGCCTAACCACGGCCAGCTGCGGAAACACAGCGAGGGCTTGTTCTCCCTGCAGCTGGCCTTGAAATGGTGCCCAGAAGACAGCCACTGGGCGTCTGCAGCCTGTGCTCCGGCTCCGGGCCTGCCTGTGCCCAACCAGTCCCTGTGGGTCCACCAACAGCCTGGGCCCAGCCGGTGGCCTCTGCAGGGGTTGGGGCTGCTCACGCGATGAGTGGCTGGGGGCTTTGGGGAGCACTTCCTGTCTTTCTCATCTCCCCATAATGAGTCTTTAGAGTATTTATTCATGAGGGTAAGGGCAGAGTGTCACATGGTGGCAGGCGAGCCCGCAGGAGCAGGATCGGGGCAGGCGCCGTTTCTGGGTCCAGGGATCAGTGGGTGGATGGCTCAGAGTGTTGTGATGGGGGTGAGGAAAGGGGGCAGAGAGACAGGAGAGAGGGGTGGTGTGTGTGTGTGTGTGTGTGTGTGTGTGTGTGTGTGTGTGTGTGTGTGTGTGACAGAGACAGACAGGTATAAGGGGGCTGCAAAGCAACAGGAGCAGGTAAAAGCAGCCTGGTTATGTAACTTAGCACCACGCTGCTGCAGGCAGCATCCCCAGCCTGTGAGAAGCAGCACACCACTCCGCCCACTCATTGTCAGAGCTCCTGAGAAAGGCCCATTGAGCCAGCCCTGTCGTGCTGTGCGGTACCTTTCTCAGAGCTGAGTCCACAGTCACACCACAGCCCGGTGAGCTAAGCAGACCAGGTATTGGTATCCCCGTTTATGGATAAGCATTAAGCTGCTAACTGCAAGGTCATCGGTTCAAACCCACCAGCAACTCTCCTGGAGAGACAAAGTTGCCTGTCTCCGTAAAGCTTTATAGCCTTGGAAACTCTATGTAGAGTCCCTGTGAGTTGCAGTTGTTTTTTTTGTTTTGTTTTGTTTCGTTTTTAAGAATAAGTAAGGTGAGGAGCAGAGGTTTAGAAGGATAAACAGAACATTGAGAAGTGTGAATAGGGAAGGGAAAAAGCCACGTGTTTTTTGAGTGCCTACTATAACATGTCCTCATTCGATCCAACCCCCACCCCCGGGAAGCAGGTAGTACCATCGCATTTGAAAATAAGATAACTGAGAAAATCAGGTAACCTCAGCTACCTTACATAACTTGACCAAGACTTCACTGCCAGTAACTAGGAAGAGACAGGGTCCCAAATCTTCTGGGGCAAGTTTAACCTGCAACCCAATAAATTGTGATACACCTAATGAGTACTAGACACCCGGTACCTTCTTCAGCAGAGCTGCTAGATGCTTCCTCCTTGCCTGCATGTACCAGTTCCCATCGGAGCCACAGTGGTGTAGTGGGTTATACATGGAGCTACTAACCACCAGGGCAGCCGTTCGAACCCACCAGCTGCTCCAGTAACGCATTCCAGTCTCAGAGACCCACAGGGGCAGTTCTACCCTGTCCTGTGGGGTCACTGTGAGTCAGAATCAACTCAATGGCAGTGCATGACCAGTTCCAATTGCTGTCGAGTGGACACTGAGTCATGGGATTCCATGTGCATCAGGGTAGAACTGAGTCCCATGGGGTTTCAATAGCTGGTTTTGGAGGGGAGGAGCTCACCAGGGCTTTCTTCCAAGGCACCTCTGGGAAGACTTCATGGTCCAGGTTTTGGCTTCGTAGCTGAGCACTAACGGCTTTGGTTCAGGCAGGCAAACTGCTGAGCAACCTGTGCAAAGAACAGAAGACACAGTCTTGCTGCTTATTGGAGGACGGATGGGCTCCCGCTGGATAACTAGAGTAGAGGGCTCGAGAGGCAAAACTGCCCAGAGGTTTACAAAAGATTTCCCCACATAGCATCTCATTTTCCTCTGATGCAGAGACCCTGCAGGGCAGATATTGATGCCCCCATTTTAGAGGTGAGAAACCGGAGAGGCTCCTTCAGAAAAGGCACAGTGGTGAAGGGCACACACCAAGCAGACGAGGTCTCCGCCTGTTGTTTGTGGTCGCCCGCTAAGAAGTTGGGGAGTGGAGCCTAAGCTGAAATGAGACTGTGCAGGGAGAGTCTCCCTAAAATCCCTCACAGGGAGACCAGCAGCTGGCTGATCACCCTTGAGTTGCTTCTGACTCATGGCCACCCGCGGGTGGCTAGTCCCTCCCCCGGAAGGAGGCTGACCAGCAGGTTGACAAGAAGGATTCATCCACGCCCTGATAGCGCTCACAGGAGCTTATGAATCGAGGGCTCCCTGAAGTGGTGCTAGGAAACTGGACCTGAGGGTTAGTGGGGAGCTGTTGGAGGCACGTCTCTCCCAGGCCTGACCTTTGCCAGGCCCAGGCACAGGGTCCCTTTCCTGGATGAGTTTGTCGCTTGCTGAACTTTGAGTCTGCACCTCGCTGTCCTCTGAGCGCCGGAGGCTGGGAGGGGGACTACCTCCCGAGTTTATTCTTCCCATGTCCGTTTGCCATCCTTTTAAAGGAACTCGCTCACTGCCATTGAGTCAAAGTCAAGTCACAGTGAGCCTAGAGGAAAGGGTACAACTGTCCTGTGACTTCCCGAGACTGTACGTGTTTATGAGAGAGCGTGAACCGTTTCTATTCCGACAAACAGTTACAGTCGCAGAAACCCACAGAGGGGTCGCTGTGAGTCAGCAATGAGTGGGTCTGGTTTGGGTTTCTGGAACCAGCAGTGGCACTAGGTGCTGAGCAGAATCCTCAAAGCGGCTCTTGCAGCAGGTGTCATGGTCACTCCTCCAGAGAAGGAGCAGATGCTGACAACTGGTTGAAGAAGTTCCCCGGGGGCTGCAGCCTGTGATGGTCAGGCCCGGCTATGAATCTAGATTTGACTGAATCCCGGGAGTTTCTGAGCGGTACTGGCCCTTGCAAAGCTCCACCAGGTGCAGATTCCCAACCACATATTTCTCCCCAGAGTCCCTCGAACCCAGCTTCCTTGGCACTAGGATTCCTACTCCTATAAAGGGGCAGTTCTCCCCTGTCCCAAAGGGTCAGTGTGAGTTCATTCGACGGCAGTGACTTGGGTTGGGTTTGAGTTAAGGGCATAATACTCGCTAGCTCTAGTCTGTGCTTAGGGACCCGCACTGCCCCGTCTCGTCGCCCGAGCTATAAGCTTTATTTCAGAGAGGGAACTCAGTCATAACCAGATCTCAGCCTGATCTGGTTTTTGGTTCAGTCTTTCATTTCTTTCGGCATCTCAGCTGCTGTGGAAAACAGGCGCACACTGCTTCTGTGTGTGGAGAAGGAGCGTGGAAGGATACTGCCACGCGCTTGCTCTCGAGCGTGCTCTGCGTGAGCACAGAGGAAGGAAGACCTGTGGAAAGCCAGTGCTATCGCTGGAACATGGGTGGAAGTTGCACCCATGACGGCTGTCAGTAATGAAGAGCCAGCCCTCACATCCCCTGTGCCCCACCTCCATCAGCCTATCAGCCCTGGGCTCGAGCAGCCTCCCGGCTGCCATGCCCTCCCCTTCAAAGCATCCCTGGTTGTTCACTAGTACCTAACTGTACCTGACTATGTGGGTGGGGGTGGGGTGAGGGAGAGGTGCGGTGAATAGCCTCCCCTTCCTGAGCCCAGAATAGCTTTGCAAAGGTTTCCAGACTCAGCCATGTTACATGGAGCAAGCCAGGCAGGTTTCAACCTGCTTTGCATTCTGTAACCGTCTTTCATTTTGCAGGCTACAAAATGCAAAGGTCTACATTACCCAGAGAGCTGATCTAACCTTTCAAACCGTGTTCACAAGGAAAACGGCTAGCTAGCTCCGCTACTTTGAACCTCTGTCTGGGAAGGAAAGGGAAGCCAAATTTGTAAGCTGGTCCCAAAATATCTCTTAGTCAGTTTATTTGGGGGCTCTGCACATCAATTGCTCTTTTAATTGAGGATTTGTTTTGTTAATACAGCCAAGTCATGAGCA